AGCGGCCACCCCTATGGCCAAATATCCAAGCGCCCATGTAAAATACCGCTAGGTTAAATATCTATTTCTGGACCAATTCATCACCAAATTTGAATCTGAGACGTAGAATTTCTTCACCACATTGAGATCTGTCGATTCTACGTCTCAATTTGCTGCAATTTTGAGTAATGAATACTAGGTAGTATGAAATAGAAGTCAGAAAATTTTGTGAAAAGTTGGTAGTTTATAGATGACGTGCACCATACCAGTACCATGGAATAATGAACATCGAAGTTAATATAAAGAATAAGTGAACCGATTACGTAAGCAGCAGTTGCACTGTAGTTACTGTACTGAATATTTCGCCCGTCACTGAAAGATGATGTCACAAGTCAATCCAACTGTAACTCAATGCGTAACTTACTGCGCAATGAAACAGCATTTCCTGTCTATGTTGAGCGCATAGAATGATACCTGAGGCCAAGGAATGCAAGGCGTATACGTATACTGTAGTAGTACACTTGTATCGTTACAGTATGTCGAGGTTTGGGTGAGCCATACTGTACACCTCTCGAGTGAATAGAGAGTTTTCGGAACACCACTTTTGAGATAGATACTGGTAGCCCAATTTACTGTAATAAATTATAGACCTCTATAAATTGGAAATCGAACTTTCCGAATCTCTGGAGATATACGTATAGGAGGCTTGTTATCTCAAAAGTGTCTCAGGTTTGAAGATAGGATAATACGGATAATATGTTCGGATAATGGTGACTGGGTGGCATCAGCCAGCCAACCTGACTGTGAACCTTTTCTCAAAAAGTGCTTCCGAAAACTCTCTAATAACGGAATGCACGTGACAAGTGTTGATGCTGTCGTACTTTACTTATTTCAGTGGTTTACGAAGTTTGTCATCAAATGAATGTACTGTACGTCTTCATCTTTTACTAGGGCTGGTCTGGATGCCACCCCATAAAGTTAACCCATTTTGGCAAGTCTGCAAAAATTTCCCAAAGTCATATACCTGTTCATCTAAAAACTTCCAACTGGCCAGTGGAGGTTTTATTATTTAACGTACAATTAATGTAGTTAAACCCAAAAACAAAATACGTTAAATACCGATCCCAACGCCTCCGGATATTATATACGGATAAGAGCGATATACAAAAAATCAAGATACATCTCAGCGGCCACCCCCCTATGGCCAAATATCCAAGCGCCCATGTAAAATACCGCTAGGTTAAATATCTATTTCTGGACCAATTCATCACCAAATTTGAATCTGAGACGTAGAATTTCTTCACCACATTGAGATCTGTCGATTCTACGTCTCAATTTGCTGCAATTTTGAGTAATGAATACTAGGTAGTATGAAATAGAAGTCAGAAAATTTTGTGAAAAGTTGGTAGTTTATAGATGACGTGCACCATATCCCATGAACAAAAAGAGACAAAAGTATCTACAAAGTTGTCTGTACGCCAGTTGAATTGAGGAAAAACTATTCGGTTTCCGATTGAAATGCAAGACCTCCATAAAACACCCAAATCTCAAGAAAACTGTGGCATAAAGTTTTGAACTTTGGTGGCATCCAGATGGCAACTTTTCTTCGAAAAACGGCTAACTATTTTATGCCATATTTTGTGGCATCCAGGCCTGTCCTTAACTGTAAGCGAAAAGGTCGCAATCCCACGACAGAATTCTGGGACGACTTGTTGCGGGTTGAGCATGCAAACCAACCAACCATGGCCTTTCAATCCCCACAGCTAACATACGGTACCGTACAGTAAGGTTGACTGTGAACTAACGTGACGAAGTTACTGTACCCATTAGTCCGAATAACGTTAAAGTTTAAATCAAATGCGTTTTCAGCTTGACGCAACAAACTACAGAAGTGCATATTATACCTAACTTACTAGTAGATTCGGTACAAATTTCCGGACCCGCCTACGTAATCGAATGAATCTCGCACTACACTGTACTTTATCTCGACAGAATCTCGCCACGACATTTGATTGGATATTATGAACTCACTTGTCTCTAATTGGCTAAAATATTCTTTCTATTTTCCATGCCCATTCTGAGGATTACTAGGACTATATGGTAGCCAATCAAATGTCGCGGCGAGGTTCAGTAATCAGAGCAGCATTGGGAAATTCGAAGGAAATTCACAATATAATACCTTTATCTATTCACGACGATTAAAACGCAGAGTAAATGAACTCTTGGTTGCCGATCATGACTTCGTTTCCTTCGCACGCACTGGCCTTGACTTTTCGACGCAGCAACTCAATCGGGTCCCTCCGAGTCGATTCCCACTGAATCTCGGCCTCGACAAACTCGTGTTTAGCCCGCGCCAAGTCTTTCAAGCTGTCCCTGGATTGCTTGCGAATTTCTGCGCATCGGACGAGCAACTCCTTGGTCGTCACACGTGGCAGCGTGTCCAGCCGGGCGAGCTCCACTCGCTCGATGGTTTCGTACGGCAGCACGCGGCGCCGACCCCCCTTTCCCCCTTCTCTGCCCCCGTCGATTGCATTCATCCTCGTCACATTCACCTTTGAAGGGCTAGGTTTGTTGCGTTCGTGAAGAGCGTGGACATTTCGCTTTTGCCATGCCGACACCTACCATGCGATTAAACCGACTGGATTCATTGTGATTCTTGTGACAACGAACCTTTCGAGCTGGCCTTCTGGACGACGTCGGGCGGCGCTCACTCGCCGCAATAACCTCCATGCGTTGTTTGTGTTCTTGAATTTTCTGTCGACGCACTTCCTCCTCCACTACTTGTTGGTCCGAGTCGATCAATGCCTAAACGAATTTACGTTCGGACGAAACGTTCACGGCAAAACACTCGTACTTGAATCAACCGCTTTTCATGCTTGGGATTGAGCGACTTGACCACACTTTCGACGGCATTGTCGTTCCGTACACGACTAGGGCCAGCCAGTTTAATAACGTCAGCATGCAACAAGGGTTTGGGTCCGTACTATAGATGTACGAACCTCAGCCCCAAATCAATCGTGTCGACCAACGATGGCTCGGACTTTGAACCGAGCTTTGACATGAGTTTGCTGTTTGTAGCTTTTAGGAGCTTGTGCTCGGACTCAATCACGTCTCGAATATCTACACCACCAACACCGTACGTACAGTCATCCATAATATTTATCATCATGTAGTCACATGTTACCTGGAGCCAACGTCGTCGAGCCCACTTGGAATTGCTGCTTGCAAAATGCTTCCGTGAGCTACACGATACCATGCTCAGTCAACTTAAATACAAGCAAAACTCAAACTAGCAATGGAACACACTTTATAGTTCCGTTCTACAATCTCTCGAGTGTGTTGGGCGTTGAGCTTGTCCACCAAACGCTCCCCGGCGTCGCAGCCGCCACGACGGTTCAATGAGGTTGCCATTACAGAATCCTCGAGCTATCATTGCATGTGAGTAGATTGTAATAACATATCAATATAAAAATAATTTATCCATGAAGAATATATATAAACATATTTTATGATGTAAAAAAATTGAGAATTTCAAAAATACTTCGAAGTACAGCATTCACATGAAGAGACAATATGGTAACCTCGGCAGAAGTTGGTGTGGACTGAGTGAGGACCTCCACAGCTCGCTGGGTTAGCCGTCTATTTATGCACCGGTGATGTGGTTCATGTCATGTACTTATCGGAACAAAGGGACCTAGTACCTTGACCGCTCGGCTTGGATCATATTGTCTAGAACGACGTTCGCGTTGAATGGGTTGTCCTTCAAGGAGGCGTCGGCGGATTGTTTGCTTTTCTCACGCACCAAGCAACGCTGGTCGTTGGCGAGGCCATCGAACGACTGAATTGTCGAGTTCCACGTGGCGTCCCCACATGCTGCCACGTCTTGTCTCGACGATTCAACAACATGACCCCCCCCACAGTCGTGTATGACCAATCCTAACCGCAGTTCCCGTCGCAGCGCCTCCATATCTAAGCAACGAGTTAAGAACGCCAGCTTCGTGATTGATCGAGTACCTTCTTTTGAAAAGCCATCGTCGCCCGTGTTGTCATCGTCAGACTCGATCTGTAGTGGCTCTGGAACTGCGTTGCCGTCGATCGTATACCGAAGCTGCGGTACTTTGGTCGGTTCTGGAAACGTGGCGGACTGAGATTGCTTGCAGTGCTACATCAACTAGTCATAACAAATCGTGCGTTGCATTGCAGCCAACCATTTCTTGGACAGTCTTGCGATTGCTCTTGTGGCCACTTGATCTGGATTTACTTGTCCCCTCGATGGTGTCGACCTCATACCGCAGCTTCCGCCCCAGCTCTCGCTCCACCGTTGCAATATCGTCAAGCGAAATGTCTATCCCATTCAGCCGTAGCAACATTGGAAACCCTTCGTGTCTTGGTACTTGTACTCGACATATCGTCGCCTTGACGGCGCTGCTTCTGGCCCCCCGTGCAGGTTTAGCTTTGAAGAGTGCCTACATTAGTCCTAGTTAGGATCCAAGCCAAGAGAAAGCAGCACCCTTGCCTCCAAAAAGTATATTCGATTCGACAAGAGCGGTATGGGGTTGTAATTGACGTTGAGGGACTCTAGTTTCGGTAACGTGGAGAGCGCGAGAATGTCGTCGAGGCAGTACAGGTCGTTGTGCTCGACTGCCAACACGCGTAGATGTTTGAAATGATCGGCCACCCACTGCCCGGGGAATCGATTCAGACTGTTGTAGCTCAAATCCAACTCCACGAGTCGGGGGAGAAACTGCACGGACTGCGGTAACTGCTCCAAGTGCATGTGGGCGAGGTTGAGTTGTCCTGTGGCTTCTGCCACGTGGAAATTGTGCTTGACTAAGGACTTCAAGCTCCCGTCAACCGGACCCTGTGCATCGTCACGATTGGTGTTGGGCATATGAGTGAGTCGAATTGTAGCATGCTACAGTTTCATTTCAACTTCAGCAGAGTGGCCCTGAGTGAAACGGTGTAGCCCTACCAATATATTTCATCGCGGAACAAAAAGTGCTAACATTTGCTAGGTTGGCTAGAGTATCAATTGCATTTACGCACATTCCTCCTGCTATCAGGTCAGCTTTGCAAACAATAAACCCATAACGTTAGGACGAAGTCGGGTTGTGTTAGCGTACTGCACTGTGCACTTTCCACGTGAAACCGCTGTAACCGACAAGGGCAATACAGATTCCGCACATGCATGGATCTCCTGGAAGCGTGCGAGAATGGCAACGAAGAACGTGTGGTTGAAATCCTCTTGGAGGCAGGACCGACAAAAGCCCCCGCAATGCTACAACAGGTGGACCAAGCAGGACGGAGTGCGCTGCATGCGGCGTGCATCGGTGGTCAACTGAGTGTCGTGCGCCTCCTTCTAGGCCGCGAGTGCCAAGTGTTTTTCCCTGGGCGAAGTCGAGAAGATGCCGAAGACTTGCTTGTTCCCTGTGGGCCCAACGTTAAGGTAGTCATGAAACGCAAGGAAGACGCACACGTGCCCTCCGCACTCCTTCAGCTACCGCGTGAGGTAGTAGTCCAAGCCAAGGACCTCGCCAATGGAATCATGTACTTGGATTACTATGGCAACGCCCCCATCCAATGCATCAGTTGCTTTGGCTGTGGCACGGAAATGAAGCACGTTCGAGACAGCGTCGAAATAGCCGCTGAGCTATTGCGAAGTGGGTGCCAGTGTAATACAAGTAAAACCGCCAACAACTGGACGCCTCTCCACTGGAGTGCGTTCAACGGCCATCACGACCTCACGGCGTTGCTGCTCAACCCCCAACTGTGCTGTGACGAGCACAACAACGTCGTGTCCGCCGTCCAGTTTGCCGTGCCGTTGGTGTGCTCGGAAGGGTTATATCCTGTGGACGTCGCTGGTCGCATGGGGCTTCAGCTGCGCGATGAGATGGCAGCGTGGAAGCAGTCTTTAGCCAACGAGGCGACTACTTTCGATGGCTTTGAGATCGATTACCGCGACTGGCGCCTTCACTTGGACCACGTTTTGGTCGTAAAAGAGTTTGTTCGAGATTACGTCGCCCAAGCCCATCATCCGTACCAGTACGCCCAGCGTCTTGCCAAATGCGTCGAAGTGTCCAGCTCGAAAACGAAGCCCCGCCGCAAACGACCTGTCCCATTTACTGAAGCGGACATTGTGCGGTATGTTCTGATAAACCCACCCATCGTTCCTTGTATATTCGTTTGAAGACTTAACGTTGCCCCTTGCTCCAGGTATGGCCAGCACTTGCTGTACTGGTGTGCCGGGCTCAACATGCTGGATGAGGCCATCGTACTGCTGAACTTGACGTTTCAAAACGACACAACGACTACTGCCTCGACGACGACAAGTCGACTGGCGCCGCTGTATCCCATCCAGTATGAAGACTGCAAGTCCCAGTCGGCTCTGCACTTGGCATGCATCATGGGACATACTACCATGGTACATACTCTCCTGACGCGAGTGATTGCATTGTACACTTCGTCAGTCAGTCTAGCCAAAACTCCATCAAGTACTTTACCGAGCAAAGTCCACCCGGTACTACGCGGCATCTCGGCTAAGGACATTCCATTCACGGCGCTCGCGGGGTGGCTTAACCACCGCCTCGAAACCCCCTTGTACCTGGCGGGCCTGTACAATCGCGCCGACGTCGCGACGTCGCTCCTGTCCATCTTGCCGCCAGCCACCGTCCAAACCGAACTCCATGTCCAGAACATCGAAGGCTCCACGCTGAGCGACATGGCCAACGACGCCGTGCGCACTGCGCTCAACTTGGCCACGACGGCGTTGTTTCCCCACGAGTATGTGCTGGTGTTTCGACGAAAATACAGGCTCTTCCGCAAGACCCTCCAGGATGTGCTCGAAGAAGAGAGCTCCCGCGCGCCGTCGCTGTTGGCAGCATCGGTCGGGTCGACCCAGCAACTTCGGTGGTGGCGTGACCCTGTCGTACGACTGATCCCAATTGTTCTAAATATGCGACGACGTTTGTGGATATTGATGTCACGTAGTGGTTTGACTACTTGGCGGTGGGAGCGACGGACGTTGTGTTGGCCCAAAAAGCCGAACACATGCAGCTCATGCACCGGCGCCGCGGGTCCAGCCAAATGCACGTGTTTCACGCGTCGGACAAGCACGAATTTGAGCCATTTCGGTCACTTCAGCGGCAATTGGTAAACATTGTGCATCAAAAGTGCACTTTGACGTTTGGGGATGTAGGTCGTGTTCAACTTGATCCGAGACAACGTCAACTTGAAGCGCCATTTGCAACGTGGAACGATCTTCGACCTCTTTCCCCTGCACGACGTCGTGGGCCACAACGCCATCGCAGCCCACTGGGTCCTCGGGCATGGCGGTCGCTGGAAGGTTCAGCCGTGGCACGGGCTTCGCCAGTATTTATTCGAGACCCCTACCCACACTTACGACGTAAGAAAGACCAGGTTTAATACACCAACCAGTATTTACCAGTTATTTCTTGTTGTAGATGCTGTGGCCCCTTCGATTGTATTTTGGAGACAAACATGCCTTGTACATTGCATGGATTCAGTTCTACACGTCGTATTTGCTTGTCGTGGCAGTTCCGTGCTTAATTGTCGAGGTATATATATACTTACTATTGTGCAAACAACCCACAACGGTGTCGGTGCAATATGGAAATTCTGGCTAGATACTGTGGGCCATCCAGGCGTTGCCGTCTGCAGTGCCCCCTTTAGTCATGCTCGTACTCGTGTGGATCACGTTTTTGGTCGAGCGGTGGAAGCGAAAGCGTGCTGAAATGTTGTGCAACTGGGGGCTTCCCGCCCCCGACGGCGGGAGCGCAGGGGGGCTTGTGAGCGCCGAGTTCCACGGAGATTTTGTCGTTGACACCGCCACAAACGAGGTTCGTGTTCTGGATCTGAAACAATCATGAATCTTAAGCACTGACATGTAAATAATTTACTAACCAAACCCAGCGGATCGTGGAATTCCCCATGTCGGTGCGCACGCTTCGCATCTACGTGGGCATGCCGCTGCTGATGGCGATGGTCGCGCTGGCGGTGCTGTCATTCATCGGCATGAAGGACCTGCGCGCTCGAAATGCCGCCACTTCGTCCGATGATACCGCCGCGTTCATGCCAGTGATCTCGGCATTGAATGCAGTGGCTATCATCTTGCTCGATAAAGTGTACTCCAAGGTGGCGCATGGCCTCACACATTGGGAAAACCATCGCACCGTCAGGTGCGTATCTGTACCAAATATTATTTGGTCTGGTCAGGGGGAATAGTGAACCTTGAATAGATCAAAATATATATTACTATTTGTTTTTCTTTCGATGTGTATTGATATATACGCCATATTCTAGTGACTTTGAATCGATGCTGGCACTCAAGCTGTTTTGGTTCAAGTTTATCAACGCGTTCATGTCGCTGTTCTGGACGGCGTTTGTCGATCGTGAATTCGACCGGTTGCGCTATGACTTAATGACAATTCTCTTTTTTCGCCAAGTAAGTCAGTCGAATGTATACTACTAGTATATCTTATTAGTGTGTACATTTAGTGCATTATCTAGTAAAAATATGGCTAGTGTAGTTTTTGGGGTGAATTACTGAAACAGTTGTCATACACATGTTAGGCGTCGACGATCTTGATGTCCAACTTGGTACCCCTCTTGCTAGTGCGGTATCGGTGGCGACAGCATGGCTTTCGAATACTCGAGCTCTTTGTCACCAGTGATCCTTCAACTACTCGTGAGAAGACAGCACAATTCTCTACATGGTATTAAAATCACCACTCTTCCCACAAGTATGTGTAGCTACGCAAGTTCCGATTTGCTCCACAAATGAAGACGCAGTGCCTGTTCCTGTGGGCATCCGTATGCAGCAGATGATGGTGGCGCCTCCGCATGTCTTGGACAAACAGGTACCTCATCTCTACACTACTGTATCTTTCCAAGGGTATTATTTCATGGTTACTTGATCGTTGTTGTCTATAGATCGACGCCATGATTCGATTTGGCTACGTGACGATGTTTCTCACCGTTTTTCCGGGCGCGCCGTTCTTTGTCGTGTTAACCAACACGTTGGAAATGCACTTGGACGTCCAGTGCAGTTTGGAGGCGCACCGACGCCCGTCGTTCGATGGAGGCGCGGAAATTCCCGTGTTTCAGAGCATACTGGAGTTTATGAGCTTGTACGTCGGATTATGTCCCCGCTTCGAACCCGAGGACATTGCAAGAAGACTTCGTTGTTTGTGTGTGTACTAGTACGTATCATGTTATCGTTGTGGGGTAGTGCTGCGGTGACGGTCAACTGCGCGTTGCTGTACCTGACCACGGACATCCATGCGTACTTGCCGACGTCGTTCTTTGCAGCCGACGCCGCCACGTCGACGGCCAAGCTGTGGGTGCTCCTCGGTGTGGAACATCTTGTCTTGGGCATCAAGGCTGCCATGGCGTTAGGCATTCCCGACTCGCCGCCGTGGGTCGACGCATATTACGCCAAACTAGCCAAGACGCACTTGATATCGCCACCGCCCACGCGGAGTGCCGAGGTCACGGCTGTGGGAGAAGCATCCAATAATGCGGACAAACATGGTTCATTCGAAGTCGAAACGATGGAATGTATGGAACAACCTACTGTCGACACCAAGGATTCGGGACAGTTTGATATTGCTCCAGACGACCAAGTCCTCTTCGCGCTGCCCCCAGAGAGTTTGTCAACTCGAACTAGCTTCGTAGATGGCACCACGGCCATACCTGCTACCACAAGTTCTTCCAAGGAGAACGTTCCATCGACCTACGAGAAACAGTCTCTGACGATTCAGGCGCTTCAAATCGAATTGGCCGCCATGCAGGCTTCTCGAGACGCAGCGCTGGCCCGCATCCGAGTCCTTGAGAGCCGCGCAAGTACACAAGACGATGGCAGTTGCAGGTTTTGTGATGGTTGCGCTCCGTGTACTGTCAAGTGCGTCGAGTGCAAAGCCTCCATGTGTCAAGCTTGCGATGTCACACAACATGCAGCAGGACTCAACACTCGGCACATTCGCATGGAAGTGGGTCGTGTAGGCTATGTAGTTCAGGAGCGGCTAGCCCACGTCGAAAAGCTATTGCAGCAACCTAATGTGATCTGTCGTGGCGCTACATAATAATATGTAATTCGACTCTGATATTGGTTTTATGCTGGTACAACCCAGTGTCTTTTCAGCATCCAGCACGTCTGGGAATTCAAATGCGATGTCAGTACCGAGAAATGGGCATGCCACCGCACTTCATCTGGTTACATTACGTTACAAGACGGTACACTTTGCAGGGGAATACCAGTATATACTACTAGTACGTAAGTTAGTATATACTATATTAGTACGTAGTATGTGCAGTATTGCAGTCAAGTGCTATTGCGAATTGGACAGCCATAAGCATGTGGACAAGGAGGTCGATCGAAATGGTTTGGAACTAGTTGGTTTTAGATTAACAACCAACTTAACTCGAGTGCCGAAGCCATTGGATGTCCAGGATACATCCAGAGAGAACGGCCATGTTTGCAATAGGACATCGCGTCTTGACTTCAGCTGCCAGTTTGTCAACTTCATCCTGGCTGGCCGACGTGTACACGAGTGCTTGGCCCCATATCCGATCGAGTCGCGCCACCGGTGCTCCCGAATCGTCGCCGAGCGGCAGGTGCAGCGCTCCTTGTTTGTCCCGACTGGCTTCAACATGAAACTCAATCTTGTCGATTGATATGCGAGGCTTCATATGCCTGGCCACGAACTGCGCAGTGGCTAGTTCGCAACCACACAGCGACGCCAAGAACAGCTCCACCGGCTGCGGAGCGGTGTTTGTACCTCCCATGGCTTTTGGGATGTCGGTAGAGATGGTCATACCGTCGCCTCGCTCCATGGAGCACTTGACACCCTCCCCGCGGCCCACAAGATGGTACGTCATGGCTTTCTTGCTGCTGAAGCATCGAGCAGCACGACCGACTTGACAAACCCGATGCATGACGACACCAATTCAAAATGACAGCGATATCCGGTTTGTATCCGGACAAACGGTTACAAATCTTCGACGGCCACACTTGTTGGCTTTAGTTGGATCTAAGCAAGATGACGTCTGGTGCGATGCTCACGATGCCCATGTTGCTCATCAACATGGGTGGGGAGATGCTGTACGTGCTTGACCAGCGCCTCAAGGCGCAAAACATCTCAGGGGACAAGAGTGTCAAGGGTACGTCACCGGGTAGCTCCAACGATGTGCTGACATCATGGTGGTAGTCCTTGTGGATGTGGTCAAGACCATGTACAACACCAAGTTCATTTCGGAGCTCTTCCGGCCGCACCACATGTACTCGAACGTGTCCACACGTCAGATCTTCGATCGCCTGGCGCACTCTTCGATCATGCGTCTCAACCAGTCCAGCATGGACAAGGTCGGCTGATCTGTTGATATTGCCACATACTGTTGTTCTGCCTAGCTGTACGGTTTGATGCGCATGGGGTTCAAGTACAACATCTTGGCGTGCTCATCTGCGGACCAACTGGTGCAAGTAACCATGAACCACCTTCGCTCCATCAAGGAGATCGTAACCACGGACGAAGCAACGTCGCTCATCGAAGAAGCCATCGTCCTCACGGCCAACGTAACTTTGACATCTTTTTCCATCTAGAATTGATGTCGTCGGGTAGGTCTACGGCACCATGAGCCATGGCAACTTTCTCCTGCTCAAGCAAAACTTGTGCCGGTTCTTCCAAGACGTGCGCATCAAAGTGTCGCTGTTCCTGCAATCCGAAATCCAAAACGGCGACGGCAGCTTTGTCCTCCGCGCCGACGGACCCGTGGCCACGGGCGGCGACATCCCTGGCACCGTCCGGTCGGTGCCTCCTCCTTCAACTTCCATGTTGCTACAGAAATTGGTAGACTTAACCTGTGACGATGTATGTATTCTGCGCAGCTACTACAATGCTTCCGGGGACATTGAAAGCGAAGACTCGATTGCAATGGACAACGCCCGGGGGGTGGTTCCGTTCGATGACAAGCCCATCTTGTCGCGAGATCCGAGCTTGTGTCCATTTGGAGGAAACTTGTACGATCCCGGCGATCTCGTTTTTAGGATGCAACTCATTGAACAAGTGCTGTTTGTTGGCAGGTATGTGCCCAATGCAAAGCCAGGGCCCAAGTCCGCCCCCAAGACGGGGGAAGAGATGGCTGCCGAGGCCAAGAAGGGGTCCAAAGGGGGTGACGACAAGCAACCATCGCCCCCCAAGCAATGGAAAGCCACGGCGGCGGATGGCCTCAACCTGCTGGCGGACCTGCTCGGGGCCAAGGACAGCTCTGCCACGGATGCCAAGCCTTGGAAAATCAACTTGTTCGCCGACGATCCTGACGACGAGTACGCCTTGTATGGAAACAAACTCAAGCGTATGTGACATCGTTTTGGGATTGGATAGGGATAGCAAGGACGACGGCGACGACGAAGGGCAAGTGCAGACGATCACGATCGACGCATTGAGTGACCGCAAGACCACCAAAGCCCTGCTGGACGAATTCGAAGACGACAAGCCCCAAGACAAGAAGGGAGGCGATACCGACGACTTGCTTAGTTTAATGGATTCGACTTAAAAATAGTGTACGACACACTGTATAAGTTGTGTGTTTCACGTTCTGGTGGTGGCAAAAGATCGTGTTTTCTACTTTTGAACGTGCGCGCACTTCATACACTACACAAGCCAATCCACACAATATCACGGATTAGACCCGATGTCCAGTCGCAAAATGAGAGTACTTAGTAGCCACATCATCATGTGTTTATTACCTTGTACGATTTGACGCCGGCGGGCAGCGCCAAGAGCGTGCCACAGCTTGCACAGTTGACCTTGATCATAGCTACAACCAGCCATGAGATTAAGGAGATAACATGGAGAAAGGTAATAGTAGTAGTACAGTCAAAGCCTTCGACGCGCGAGACGTTGGTGCATTTGGGGCACTGGATCGTCGGCTGGTTGGACTGTGCGAGGAACGTGTGGGAGCAGTACCCGCACTTCATGGTCTTGGGGCGGGAAGATCCGGATGTTGGGGGCGGGGGCGGCGAGCTGTGGCGATTGAGTCTGTATCGTCACAGTAATAAAGTACGATTCAAATTCGAAACAATTCATCATGTCGTACTTGTTGATGGCGTTGCAGTAGGGACACATGACTTCAGGCAGATCCAACCCGTCGGGCAAATGCAGAGGTCGAGAGCACTGGGTACACGACACCGTCTTGGTGTCGGACGCCGCCGCCGACGACGACGAGGACGTGCTGCCCAGCGGGAGGTGGCAATGCGGGCACGGCACAGTGTCCAAGTACGCCAGCACCCCCGGCGGGACAGTCACGACGCCCGAGCAATGCCGACACGTGACAGAGTCCTCGGCCACAGACGGAGGTGCGGCTGCCGGCGACGAAGGGTGTGTACTACTACTATACCCGCCGGTCGCATCGTACGGTGTCGAAGCCGACGACGAGCGACGGCTGTTGAGCACTTGGTCGTGGTTTTCAAACGTGGCAAAGGGCGCAGAACCAACCGACGTCGGGGCGGCGGTCGTTGGTTGTGGGGCCCCCGTCGTGGTGGTGTTGGGGGGGAGGTTGTTCCAAAGCGCTTGGTCGTCATTGTCGTTATCGTGATGGTTGGCAGCGGAGGGGTCTTCGTGCGATTCGGGGGACGACGCAGCTCCGTCCTGATCGACAAACCCGACCGACGTGTCCGGCGCGCCTTCGTCCTCTTCATCCTCGTCGTCGGCGTCGCCGTGCCCGAGTGAACACCCATCCACAGCCTTGGCATGGTCCGACAAGGCGACACACACGTCCTGGCCCAGTAGCACGTAAATACGTCGGGCGAGTGGATGGTTTAGGACGCGAAGGCTGGTCATGAAGTGGGTGTGGGTTCTCAAAAACAAGACAAACGAAGGCGACGTGCACACGAGTTGCACCAAGAGCGGAAACACCAGCGGGTGGTTGGCGTCAAACGACGATAGTACGAGCCACTGGAGCAGTTGGTTGGGGACGATCGACGTCCGATGGAGCCCCAAGTCGGTCGCAAACGGGAGCAACGCCGTCTGGACGTCTGGCGGCGCGCCGGTGGGGAAACCGGCCAAGAATAGGGCCGACAAGTGCTCGAAGATGAGGCGCCATCGGGGATCGTCGTGGAAGAGAGTAGTGGACGAGCTCCATAGAGCATGCATCGTTTCCAGGGCTTTCAAGTACACGGACAAGTACGTTTGGCGTTCGAGTACCGCTAGGCCGAGCACGAGATCCAACACGACATGCTGGTCTTGGTCGTCGTGGCCATTGGACATACTGGCGGGGCTGCTCGATGTTGTTGTTGCAACGACGCGATAGTGAATCAACGTCAATGCATTGAGAATCAAGTCGTGGGCAGTGTCCGAGGACGTGGCCACATGGTGTAGCCACGTGATTAAATCCATGTAAATGTCTGGCACCACGACCACTTGGACTCGGATTTCGTAGAGTTCACACAACGACGCCAGCACTTGGACGACCAGCGTAGCCAGGGCAACGTCATACGACGAGGAAATCGATTGGTGGAGCAGCGACGCCCACAGTTTGAGGGATCCAAGCATTGCGACGCGGAACGCCTTTTGGTGGTGTGCGATGGTGGAGACAATCCCGAGAAGCTCAAGCAACACGTGGCGGTTCGATTGGTTGGAATCGACGAGCGACAGCAGGCGGGCGACCCCGTGGCCATTGAGCAGGCGCTCTGTCGCAGATTTGTAGCGCAGCAAGTGGATCAACACTGTCTGGCACGACTCGTACTGCCCCAGGCGTTCCATCATGCACTCGACGGCGCCGCCGTCGATCATCGCGTGCGCGAGCCGCGACACGCCACTCATGTGCAGCATTAGGGTTAGCCACACTGTAGTAGTACTACTGGTCGAGCTGTCGTCGTCGGGCTGGGCGTTGATTCGTTGGGCAATTCCAGACGCCACCGACACGAGCGAGTTGACTTCGCGCGTTTTGAGCAGTTTGGACGAGGCCAAGAACGCCGAGAGCGCCACCACGCTGGATTCGTGGACGTTGTCGCGCATTGCCTCGACAAACTTGGCTCGCATGCGGTACGTCGCCACTTGTTGCCAGAACGGCTCGAGGTCCCAGTGCTTGGTTTCCAACGCGAACCGGATCAACGTGGCTACTGCTAACGGGTGCGACGGCAGCGTGCTGAGGATGGCTCGGGCGAATGGACACGTAAAGAAGGAGCTGCTACTACTAATGGTGTCCGCAACCACATCTTCATTCTCATTGTAGGGAAGAGGAGGGTTGGCGGGCACGACCAACGTCGCCAGCGCCTCGACAGCCATGCCGCGGACCTTGACGTGGGTGGATTGGACGAGCAACTGCAGCAACGCCTCCTGAAAGGTGCTGGCTTCGTGAGATGTGGGGTCGACAATCACCTGACCACATCCGATGGTCGCGATTAGCACGTGGTTGTGGCTGGTTATGTGGAGGAGGATGTGGTTGACTATGCGCAGGTTGCGCGTGTCGACAATATATGTCCACACGGGGTGCTGAGCGTACAAGAGTTCGTCTGTGACGTGGCTCAGAATGTGTTCCGACAACGATCGGGTCGCGGCGGTCGAACTCTCGAGTTGGTGCAGCAACGTTGTCACAAACGCCGTGGACACTGGAAACTGGTCGTGGTTCTGCGACAACGTGCTTAGCAAGTGGGCAGCTTGGACGTTGTCTAGACTGTACAAGTGCACGAGGCGATCGACGACGACCGAGTTGGGCGCTAACGCGGCTGTTTGAAACGGAACGTGCGGCAGAAACGCTTGCATACACGCCAGCACAACGTCAACCACGTCGTCGTCCGGTGACTTCAGGCCGTTCAGGACACTCACGTGTAAGTCGGCCTGCAAGAGCAGCGGTACAAGGCGGCGGACTCGGCACAGCGCCGACACGACCGCCAGAAGTGTCCCCACCTCCACCCCCGGGCGCGGCGCCACGTACGCTCGGTCCAGGCGCTCGCCCAGTGCTTCGCAAAAGTCGATAAACATTTGCTGCTGAGAGAGGACCCACGCTACAAAGATGGTTTTCCAGCCAGGATGGGCCAGTGCAATCTCCAAACAGCGGAGCAAACTCTGGATCACATTCGAGTCGGGTTGATCGATTAGAACCGTCAAGATATGGCGGTACACAGCTTGGAGGGTGCCGACGTGGGTCCACGCGGTCGCCGCTGCGCATTGCAAGCATTGGACAAGCACGTCCCATGCCAACCCTGGAACCTCGCGGGGGAGGCAGGCCACGACCGCCTCGACAACCCCCAAGTCCACCGCCGACGAAATGTGCGACGTGTTACGCACCACCTGGAGCGCCAAAGTCAACACGTCGAGATCGGGGGTGCCACCCACAAGCAGCGGATGCAGCACCGCGCCGTACAGCGACGCCACGACCTGGTGCTGCAACTCCAACCGGTGGGTGGACCGATGATTGTACCCCCCCCCCGTGAGGCTGCCGATCGCCCCCAGCGCAAGCTTGTGCAACGCCCGGTCATCCACGAGGCCAAAGAGGGCGACGGCACCTGCCGCGGACAGGATAATGTCGGACGAACGCTCCCCCATGAGCGTGTAAAACACGAGCGCCGACTCTTTGGTCCCCACGGACGCCCTGGGGTTTCCCAGAATCTGTTCAAAGCCCTGGCTCGCCCCAAACGGAATGAGCTCGTTCAGCACTGCTGGCGACGCTTTGGCTAATTGCGCGATCGCCCGCGCCGAGAGTTCCAGCACGCGGGGTTGGTACGTGAACAACGCCAACAAGATGGGCACCCCCTGGTAACCCACAACGTCCCCCACATATTCCACCTGTGAGCAAAACGCGTTCAAGATTGTCAGCAGATCCTCTTGGAACGATATCTCGTCGTTTTCGTCTTGGCTTTGAACGGGCATGACGCTCGTGATTTTGGCCAGCCATTGCAAGACACGCACGAGGCCATTTGCGGACGCGATTCCTCGAGCAACGGACGGCTGGCACGCGCCTACGGGGCACATGGTGCGCAGGACTTTGAGGGCGGCGGCGGAGACGACCTCGGCCTCGTCCAAACACAAAACCAACGCGTCCATGACCCCCGCCAGGGTCGCGCACACGGCCGCGTACCGCGCGTGGTCGGCCGCCACCAGTGCCGTCGTCAACGTCAATGTGGCCGGCTCGGACACAAAATGCGGCTGAAGCGCACCAAACAAAGGCGCGACGAACGCCCGTTCAATCGGGTACTGCTGGACGAACTCGGACTCGAGACACAGCAGCAGCGTCTCCACTACCACGTCCACGTCGGCGTCGGGGCTCGTAGCCGTCAAAAGCAGCAGCGTTTGAACCAAGATCGTCAGGCCGTTGTGCCCCACCACTTCATCTCGACACGCGGGGTTGTTGACCATGTACACGTGTAAACACTTGGTCGCGTCCATCTACACCAAACGTACACAAGTATACATTGAGATCTAACACAGGATATCACGACAACCACAAGGCTTCATCTTTTGCATTCCATACAGAGCATGTATATATATATATATATAGCCGACGAGGACATGATCTAGAAGGTTGAAAATCCTCTTAAGATCATTATAATTTAATCAATATATAATATATATTTAAAAGAATAAAAAGAATGAAAAAACACTGATGATCAATATCCACAACGTGTGTCATGGACTATATATATATATATACGCAATTTAGTAGGAGTTCCTTCCTTTGGAACCATTACCACAGGATAGGAAAAGTATATCTACACCAATTCCCGTTCAAGTTGAATGAATTTCCAGTCAATGTGAAATGCACAGATATTACACAAGTGCGGTTTCACATCTCAACTTTAAAAATGTTCACTTTAAAACGAAACGTTAAACTTACTTCCACTATAGTATACTGACCATAAGGTGATGAATTATACTACCTTACAGTATACAATATAGTGATTCAATCATCATGTCTACCCTCCTCTTCCTCCATCTTTATCCAATTCATACACCAGAATGAATATATATGAAATAAAGTATGTGTTAAAGAATTCATGTTGCTTTGAAAATTGTCATGTTTCGAACGTGTTCATTTATATCCAGTTGAACGGGAAATGGTATATATATATACAAAAATGCGACATATATATATATATATTGATGTAGACACTCGCTTTTTGTTAAATCGGTCAATATGGGTGGTTACCTTGACTGGCACGGACGCATCAGACGACGCACTCAAGAGCTCGCACAGCTGGACCGTTGCTCCGACTCGACGTAGGGCGTCCTATCATATATAAATATATACCCAATAATTGTATCGATAAGACAGCCACAATCAAGCACAAGGGCAAAGTGCACTACTACCAGTACATGTCTTTGAAAAAGTACAATACAACACTCTGAAACGATACTCTATGGACATGCTTGGTACACACTGTAAGTACCTGACCAGTGGTGCCCTTGGCCTTACACAAGTGAAACATGGTGCGAATAGACTGGAGCTCCAAGTCCTCCACCCCGCTCGACAAGCACTGAATCAACGGCTGGCATGCCCCCGACTGCGTGAACGAGTCGGCGGCATGCGATTTGCTGACGGCGTTGTACAGGGCGAGGCTGTTGGCTAGCACCATGAGCACATGGATCTGGACGTCTTGTGGGTCGGTGGGATGGAGCAGATCGCACAGCACGCTGATGCCTACATATATATATATTGTCAAAAAATATGATTATTCGAGCCCGCAGCAGAATAATATCTCGAATATCTTCAGATCCAGGACTAAGCCAATCAAAAATCACGTTCTGTCGAGACTTTTATGGAACCGTTGGATTCGTCCCAGACCCTCCGGTTTGATTAACAGCATAACCAGATGATATATGTGAATTTGATATAAATATATTTCCGAAATTCGCGTGGTTTGGAATAATCAATATTGAATCACGCTAACAGTTCTGATTGGCTGATTATACTTGGTCTTTCTGTAAGAGCCAATGAAATCATCCACTCGAAAATTGTATAATAGCATCGATGATTCGTGATTCGATTATTCGGCGACGAGATACATTCGATTCGACAAGATCTGTACCGAATCCACAATATAGGAATGTTTGTAAAGTAAATAGAAATAGAAGACTGCACAAGATTAAACAGGATGAACGAGATTCGAAAATGCCACAGTAGTTAAGGACGACCAACACATGTACCTATAAAGAAGACAGTCTATATTGTCGATTTGATAGTACAAATTTGAGGAGGGGGTGCAATCGAATCGAATCGACCAAACCGATCCACAATCGATCTGATTGGTTGAATTTAATTGAGAAGGTTTTGATTGGCTAATAATTTTGAGCTAATCGGAGGTAGCCAATCAAATCGATTTAAATTCCAACGAGAAACCACGAAATTTCACTCGAAAGCACAATATATTGTTAATGTGTATATATTCTAAACTGGAGCGACATGGTGAATGAATCGACACAACCAAATGTATGACACAAGAATCATCGACAGAACAATTGAGCCAATCAGATTGCAGGAAACCATCACCAACGTTTAATTAGTGTGTGACTTCAATTAGTGTGATACCAATCCCCTTTTTACATACGAAATGATTCAGTACAAAGAATCGATAGATTTGGCAAAGAATCAGCACAAAAGTCAGCCAAATTTTGGGTAAAAGAAAGACAATAACAAGATGGAATACCTCCAACGCTGGCGAGGTCGTTGAGTTGCGCCAACGGTTCTGGGCCCATCGAAGCATCCGATTCCTTGCGCCCAGCGCTCAACGCGATGGCCAATGCGCGCAATTTTTCCACTTTCTATGAAACAAAGGGTCAGGATTGTTGTTGCCAAGTAGCTTGGAAGGTTTTTTAGAAAAAACGTACTTGGGGCACACTGCCTGGTTGCTTTATCAGCAACGTGACCAAGCTCCCAATCGAGTAAAAGTCGTTTGCCAGTGCATTCCGGTGGCATCGACGGCATACCGTCTAGTGGTATATCACCGAGAGATGATGCAAATAGTGATCAAAACAGTAAGGCGAATGGGGGACTAGTAGTACGTACAGCTCGACCTTCGAGGGTTGGGATGGATACCTTGAAGTCGGCGCATTCCGCACAATAGAGGCCACCACAGAGCCGACAATGGTGCTACAACATATACATCAGTTGCTTCTTCGCCTGATGAAGAAACGCCATACTCGACGGCGGAGGACGCCAAATTTTAACCGGCATTGCGTGCAGTCTTGTCGGGCACCGTCGGGAACCACCACGGGCGGAAAGTACGACGAGAGGGCGGTGCCGCCAAAGGACGACGTACGGACAAGGGGTGTGGAGATGGAGAGGTGGAGGGTGGACGACCCAGAGGACGACGAACGGAGGATGGGGGGTTGGACAGGCGATGACAGCGACGGCATGCTGCCACGATGGACTGCCGCCGCGGCAATAGATGGTTGGGAGAAGTCCACCGGCGACGTAGGTGCATACTCCACCGTAGGTTCCACAGAAGAGAGAGTCGTGGAGTCTCGAGAGGATTGATTGGCATATCGATCCAACTCGTTGGCCATTTGGTGGAGTTGAGATTCGCGCGGGTCAATCCATGTTGTCGTGCGCGTGGCATGGTCCACAAAGTACACACGTCCCTAAAGAAACGCATGTAAGTATGACGACATTGTATGGATCTATATACTGTACCTGGGCATCGCGTAGCTCTTCCCATCCAGGGGGCAGCGGAAGCGACGACGGCGGTGTCCACGACGTCTAGAAGAAGAATGGGTCAGTCATGTCCAATAGGGTTTGGTCGTACCTCCTTGGTATCGTGGTTGACGTAGAATACACGCCCTTGTGCATCTTGTACTTGCTCCCAGCCTAATGCATGACGTCAGATCCAGAAAAGGCGGCTAGTTTCTCAACCTGGTGCCAGCATGACGGATTTGGTCTTGAGCATTCGATATCATTAGGGTCGGTATCCGTATCCGGATAATACACGACCAACATTCTGGCCCAGAAATCGTCAAAAATAAATAGAAATTCACCACGAAATGTTTTTTCGTGTCGTGTCCATGGGGTGGTGTCCAACGAGGGCAAGAAATTTCAGCATGAGGTCCAAGGCAGGTTCGTTCGTCAAAGGGTTATGATGCATCCTTGGATGCTCCAAGTCTATGCAGGGCATGTATCTTTAGTACGGTAATCACTGCAATACTACCGAACGTTAGTATATGTTGCTTTAATAGTACTACTACGCAGGGTACTGTATAATACTTCGAAGTAACGAGTTAATTTGAGAGCATTCGTTCCCCTAACAACGTTTTTTCCGATTTTCATTTCGTTACGAGATACTAGTACTAGTATGGCCAAAAAGCTAAGGAGTCGAGGTGAGGGCAATACTGTAATTGACCGTTTACGTTACCATAAAAATTCCGACGTGAATCGGCGTGAAACTCACAATACATACCGGTATACTACTAATAGTAGTACTAGCGCACTTTGACTTTCACGCCGATGACCTTAAAGACGATAATCCTGATGCACAGTAGCAATTAGGTACACTACGTGTCAAAACGTTAAAGTCTAACCTTGACTATAACATGGGTTGTCGGGCTTGGGTCAAGATCTTGGTCACTTCCTGCCTCGCGGCCTCCATCTTGTCTGCCAAGGCTCGTCGTGCAGCATGGGGGCCGGCGCCATCAAACGGGCCCATGTCCACTTTGCAGTTGGAGTTGTGCTTGGGGTACGTGCCGTTGCTGAAGAACGCCGTGAGGGTGTTTTGGATGCACTTGCTGGGGGTGCTGCTCGTTTCGTGGCCGAACCCGTCGCGCGTGACCAAGACGGCGTTGGTGCCCATGGTCTTGGCCAGAGCTCGCGCGCTTCGCAGGGGGGTCACGGGGTCGAGTTTGTTTTGCAGGATCAAGATGGGCTGGCGCAGCATGGTGTTCCACGGACCAGAGTACCGCTCGACGGGACGAACCTTCCAGTACCGAGCAGGGAGGGCGTACGAAGCAAACTGCATCCCGAACAGCGGGCTCTTGCGCTTCGCCTCTCGAAGGGCGCCGTGCCAATCCTGCGCTCTCTCCGAGTCGCCGTCGTTGCCAATGTAAATGGAAAACTCCATGCCCATGCCAAGGTACGACGAGTCCGTGAGCGGACACACCTCGTCCACAGGGGACGCCTCGTACGTGCCTTCCATCAAACTGTGCAGTCGATGCGCCAGGCCCAGCCACTGTCCCGGTCGGTACAGAGTGTTCAAGATGTTGGCCCGAACGTCGGCCGCGGTGAGGACGGAGAAGTCGTCCCCCGCGGGCACGAGGAGGGGGGATTCCACCATTCCGTCCAAGAACGCACGAACGCGCTTGCCGACTTGCGCGGCGTACGCGAGAGGACACTTCAACGGCCCCGCCTTTTCGCACGCGTCGGCAAACCCGTCAAACGTCTCGTCCGCATCGACGGTGGATTTGGCCAGCAAGTTCGACGGGGGCCCCGTGTACAGAGTCGGGTCCAGCACCGAATCAATGACGAATCGACCCACGCGGTTGGGGTACATGTTGGCGTATGTGGCCCCCAGTGTCGAGCCGTACGACACGCCATAGTAGTTGACCACGGATTCGTTCAACGCGGCCCGAATCAGGTCCATGTCCCGCGCCACGAACGACGTGGACAAGTACTTGAGGTACTGGCCGTCGTACTTTTCGCACCGACGCACGATAGCCTCGAGACTGGCTCCATATCGTGCCAACGATTTCTCGGCCGTGGGCGAGTCGAAAGGGAGGTTGCTAAGGCTGGGCCACTCGCGCAAGGACGTGTATCCGTTCTTGGTGCAGCGGGCCGGACGAGACAACCCCACGCCCCGCGGGTCAAAGCCCAAGACGTCGTACTGTCCCCCGAGGTAGGTGGCCAGGCCCGCCGAAGCCATGGCAGTTCCATGGTGGCCAGGCCCGCCGGGGTTGACCAAGATTGTGCCCAAGCTCTGGGTTCCGTTCTCGACTCGATATCGGCGAACGGCAATGTCAATCGTTTCGTTGACCGACGGATGCAAGTGGTTCAGGGGGACTCGCAGGGATCCGCACTCGAGGCGAGGGTCTTCAGAGAACGCGCACGGCTGCCATTGAAAAAGTTCTTGCTGGGCCCCCACAACGTAGACATAGGCAAGTGAAATGGTGCCAGTGATGCGAACCATGGTGACAATTTGAAAATGGAGACTGGGCCGCACTCGTAGAAAGGCCTCTCTTTACCCCGCAGTGACAGGAGATGATAGTCGACCCCCAAATATGTCACCAATGCAGGTGCGTCCCACTATGCAGGACGATGCTAGAGTGTCTCGACGCTCTATACCCTCAACATGGAGAACGAGACCTACACAGTACTTTACTGTGCATGTTGTGGTTGGGTATGGAAATATGACATACTACAGTACTATTGTAGTTTTCCATAATACTACTAGTACGTACTAGTAGTACTAGGATTTCGTGATTGAGCTGATGGTTCCGCTAGTTTATGTTGAAGGTAACTCAGTAACTTACCTTGGATTTCTCATTTGGACCTGTACACTGGTTAGGGACATCCTACACTGTACTGTAGTCCTATGGTACCGGTAGTAGTTGGTGGTCGGTAGTACTGTACCGGATTTGATCAGATTTCACTGTCACTTATTTTACCCTCAGCACTACAGTGTAGGTACATACATTCATACAATTCGTACATACAGTTACAATTATTGCAAAATCCACCTTTTTAACCCGTAACCCTGTAACCAGGAAATCCCGACACCCCGTCCCTATCTCAAATGACCACAATTATGCCTATTCCCAGGGATAAGTGGAGTCAACTTACTGTAACCCTTAGCACGACTTCGTGATATTTGTAGCCAATGAATGGCGTTGGCTCGTGAATGTTTGTACCTACACTGTACCAGTAGTTCAGTGGTGTAAAATACTACTTCGAAGTACTTCGAAGTAGGAACTAATAGTACTGTACAGTACTGAAGCGAGAGGTATACAGTATGTAGGTTTGTAGTTCTTGACAATCATGCAAACAAGGAGGCCACTCATGGTGAGCGTGATTGAAGTCTCCCTGTTGACGTCAACAAAACCCATTTCCTAAAACTGTCCACGTGAATATATTATATATAATAGTATAATGACTGTTAACAACGCTGTATGGTAGTACTCTCTATTAATAGTAGCACTGGAAAACTTAGTCTGTACTACAGTACTAAGTATTAAAAACTGTACTGTGTGGTACTTATAAAGTACAGTACTACGTAGTCTAGGTACGCATCTACTTCGAAGTACTGTAGTACATGTACTACCAGTAGCACAACGTACATGCAGTAAGCTTACAGGGATACTGCTCTACTGTACCTCGTTAACTTATTACAGTACGTAGTAATACTAGTAAAAGACCTTGTAGACGTATTTCAACTTCTGCTTGTACAGGATCGAATTCACTACCGATACTTTAGCACTGTAAAAGGTGACAAGTTTGTCATCACAAGGGGCTCGACCAACCAATGGGGGGAATATCGTCGGTGGTTACCACTTGGTGTACTTGATTCATAGACGACTTAGACATTCACTGCAACGAACTTACTCAAAACATTAAATTCATGCACGACAGATCCTTTCAGCAATCACGAAGTACTGTAGGTCTCGTTCTCCATGTTGAGGGTATAGAGCGTCGAGACACTCTAGCATCGTCCTGCATAGTGGGACGCACCTGCATTGGTGACATATTTGGGGGTCGACTATCATCTCCTGTCACTGCGGGGTAAAGAGAGGCCTTTCTACGAGTGCGGCCCAGTCTCCATTTTCAAATTGTCACCATGGTTCGCATCACTGGCACCATTTCACTTGCCTATGTCTACGTTGTGGGGGCCCAGCAAGAACTTTTTCAATGGCAGCCGTGCGCGTTCTCTGAAGACCCTCGCCTCGAGTGCGGATCCCTGCGAGTCCCCCTGAACCACTTGCATCCGTCGGTCAACGAAACGATTGACATTGCCGTTCGCCGATATCGAGTCGAGAACGGAACCCAGAGCTTGGGCACAATCTTGGTCAACCCCGGCGGGCCTGGCCACCATGGAACTGCCATGGCTTCGGCGGGCCTGGCCACCTACCTCGGGGGACAGTACGACGTCTTGGGCTTTGACCCGCGGGGCGTGGGGTTGTCTCGTCCGGCCCGCTGCACCAAGAACGGATACACGTCCTTGCGCGAGTGGCCCAGCCTTAGC